GAGTGTATTCAGCCAAATAGGGGGACAAAGGGAAAGGATAATGTGTGGTACTTTGGCTGCATATATGAGGATTTATTTGGTGGTTAAAGGGTTAAGAAAGTACCATGTTTCTCTTGGACTTTTATGGTTGTTTAGTGGGTTGTACTAGGGAACATAGTAGGGACCATGTTGGGTGGATGTTGGAAGATGAATGGGGCTGTTTTGGTTTCCTATTGTGACCAGGGATTAAAATAGAAAGAAGAGACTTTATTTTGGATATCAAAAGGAAATAAAATACTTTTGGATGTTTGGGGTTGGGTTGGACGGAAAAGGGGGTTGACCAGCGGAACCCTTAGGTCAAAAACGAAAGTTATTTTGGCCTTTCGGGCTAAAGGACGTTGAATTATCACTAAAATGGATCATAATGTTTGAACCTAAGTCCTTTGGTTTCCATGAGGGTGTGGGATATGGAGGAGGGTATGATAGGCTCGGCCCAGATATATCAAGATAATTCTCAGCTAACTACAAGGACGATTAGCTATGCAATGATGTCATAATGATGAAATGATTCTAGATAATTTTGATGTTAATAGAGCAATTAACAGGTTATGTCGTTAGATTAAAAAGTATAACAGAACTAAATTTCAAGAACATTAGATGTTAATTCTCAACACAACAATTTTCTTTTGATTGGTTCTTTAATGGACTGCTTTCTTTTCTACAATTCTACTTCAGCAACCAACATTTTTTCTTTACTCGACTTGTTGTCCATCCTTGTCTACCTTCTTGTGAGATGAAGATTTTTCTTAAGTCCTATAATTAAGTCCACTCTTTAACTTCACGGAGTTTAAGAAAAATGTTGAAAAGTAAAAGATGCATAGATGGAAGAAAGAGAAATGTTATGAGCCACATACTCATTTCCTTAAAATGAAAAATGAAAAGGGTGAAGTTTATTCTTGTATGGCGTGAGAATTAAATTTGATTATTATTGTGAGCTTTAAAAAGCTTTAAAAATTCTTCAGGCATATTTATTTAAGAACATTATTTAAGACAACCAGAATCCATAACGCATCATAAAGCGAAAGAAAGAACAGAGTTAGCAAATACCAACTGCACTCCCAATTGCACAGACCCATAAAATCCTGCCAGACCATTTATCGGGAACTATTCCTCTGCTCCAGAATCCCATCTTTACCCGCCCACAACTGGAAAACAGGAAGCCACATGTTGTGGAACCAGATTTGTCAGTGGCAATTGAAGATTAGAGACAAACCCAGCACCGTTGGTGCTTGATTAAGACCATTTAAACAGGTTGTATAGACAGTAGATTAACACGGAGTACAACATTTGAAATACTTGAAACAATATCAATCATTGAGGACTTCAAAACACACAATTGAGTGACAATTAGTTAGTTCACTCAATCTAGTGATTTATAACATGGAGGTAGCTATGAGTTCATCACCACATACTCCTGAATTTAGATGTCAATTTCACCTTTTAGAAGCACCCCTAGTTAATTGCCCAACAAATTAAAGACGATATCATTGCCGCAATACATTAAAGACAACGATCGAATTTCAACAAGGGAGAATAACATCAAGTGAACAATTATCAACAACAAATTCTTAGAGTGACTACTATGAAAAAAAATCAAGAAAAAAGTATCAAATTGAAACATTAGACTCTGAAGAACGGACATGGGAGACCTTGGGCGAAATCTAACGGGCAGGGAGTCGACTGGATATGGCGGGGCAACACAGGAGCTACGTATAAGAAAAGTCGCGGAGGGGGGTTTCGAGGGGGCTTTCAGGCAGTGGGCGAAATATACTGAAAAGTGAATGTGGCGGTAGGAAATGGAGAAATTACGCCATGGATGGAAGGATATTAGCTTCAAATTCCCAATTGGGAAGAACGGGATTTTCAATTCCCAATTTTTTTAGTTTTAGGGTTTTAAAATCTCAATTTTCAAAAGTAAATAATTATGGAATTTGTATGGCAACTAAAGAAACATAAGTCAAGTAGGCACAATTTATTTTATTTTTTTGTTTTTCTTTTTTGGGGTTTTGGAATCCCTATTATTTTATATAATATAAATGGAGTAATTAATAATTTTGCATGGGAGGTGTGTCACAAATACTCCATTAATATAAACATTTAAAATCTGAAAAACTGAAGAAAAATTAAAGTTTTTCATAAACAAAAAAAATAATGAAAGAAATATTTTATTGAACAAGATACATCCAACAAAAAGACCAATAAAGTTACATTAAGGGCAGGTTCTTTAGGACTGTAAAAAAAGAGTGGATGTTGGAAAAAACTGGAAAAAACAGGAAAGAACTGAAAGGAACTGGAAGGTATTGGAAAAATTGGAAGGCACTGGAAAAATTAAAAGGAACTGGAAAAATTGGAAGGAACTGGAAGAAACTGAAAAAACTAGAAGGAACTGGAAGAAACTAGAAAAAACTAAAAGGAACAGAAAGAAACTGGAAAAAACTAGAAAACCTTAAAAACTTTAAAACTATTTATTTTAAATTCTTGTTGTTATAAATTATTATTATTATCATTATCATTATCATCATCATAATCAGCCTTGTTTGGTAACAGCGCTTTCGATTAGCGTAAGTGTTTTAGATAAAATTTTAATGATGTAGATTAATTCTGAAAATGCTAACGCTAAAAGGAGTAAAAGCTACCTTCGGATAGCCTTTTCAAAACGCTGACGCTAATCTCAAACGCTGATGCCAAACAGGGCCATCATCATCATAATCATCATCATCATCACGTTATCTTAGTGAATGTTTTTAAGATATAAAAAAAGTATTGTTATTTTTTAAATACAAAAAACTATTTTTAAAAAAATAATTATAATATAAAATTAGCATAAATATAAAAATTTTAAATTTTAAAAAGGCTGTGTAGTTATATTGCACTTCAATTTATTTATGCAGTATTTATTATAAATAATATATTTGTAATTATAATTTATATATTAAAACAATTTGTTTTAAATATGATACATGTCACATAATCAAACCTATTGTTTCTTTCATGATTGACATTTTATTTTCATTGAATTCCTATTTTTGGAATAAAGACAGAACTTTTTTGTTTACATTTTTTATGTTTTACTCATATTTTAGTCTTTTTCTCTAACCTTTTTTGACTTACAATTTTTTTAATAAAAATTAGAAAAATGAGCAATTTTTAAGTAATAAATGGAAAATGAGATGTCTTATAAAAGTTATATTAATAAAACATTCAATGCAACTATTTTATGCATAATTTTCAAAGAAAACAATTCTCAATTATGATATCATATGTAATGACAATTAACAAAATTCAAGGGCAATCTTTATCGCATGTTGGACTGTTACTCAAGAAATCAGTACTCAGGCATGGTTAGCTTTATCTGGCAATTTTACGTGGCACAAATCACAAAGGGTTAAAGATCTTGATTTGCAATGAAGACTTTGCATTGTCAAACCAAACTTTAAATGTAGTTTAAAAATAAGTTTTCCAAAACTTAGAAGACTTCTCATCGACATTTAGTATTAATGTATACTTCCCTTTATTTAGGATTTTATTATATTATCTTATCTTTATGTACTTTTACCTTTTTCCTTCATCAAAATTTTCCGTGATTGTTTAGAAAATAATTTACCCATGTAATGTACGACTATGAGTGTAGTCTATACAAAGCTAGGAGTGCAATATTAATAGTGTTCTCGCTCAAATTAATGGGCCTAGTCATTAGGCATTGGGCTAGTCGTAGTCGTATTGAGCTGGGCCTAGTCATTAGGCATTGGGCTAGTCGTAGTCGTATTGAGCTGAGGGAGGGGAAATTGCGTCAATTGCTTTTTAGGGTATAATTTTGCTTGCAAAACAGAAAAGTAACTCCGTTTATTGGTTTTTAAAATATATTGGAGGATTCTCCCTATCTTCTTTTTCATTGAAAAATGTGAATCACTTTATGGCCATTCCACATGAAATGAATGGATTCTACAAATCCTTGCATATTCATTCACATTAATGAGATGTGTTAAGGGTCTAATTTTTACACTATATTGATAGCACCAAAACACAACCCTTCCACAACACAACCATCTCCATAATTTAGGCGAATTCCGATGACCATGTCTCAGAAAAATCATCAAAAATGTGGAACGACCTTAATGGGATTGACAATAGCTGCACAACGTAACTTGGATGCTAAAGTTATGTGTCGTTCATATTTATTTTGTTCCGTCTTAGGCAAAGGGAGGGGATTCGATGGAAGGCATTTTCCATGACGAACATGTATACTATTTAGTATTTTCCTTCATTCCAGTATTCGTATGTTATCCTAATTTGTGATTTACTTAATAATAACATTCGAATTTTTCTACATTGTTTATAGGGAACAAGAACTTTCCGCGATTATTTAGTAAATAATTTTCTTATGCAACGCACGATTACGAGTCTAGTTACTCTCCAAAAATTGGACCTGTAAATTAAAATGGACACATAATTGGGAGCCCAAACAAACAATACAAAGTATCTGCTTATACCTTTATAATCTAATGACGCACAATAAGCTAATGCCCTCGCTTCTGATGTGACTCAAACTTAGATGAATTTTCTCCTGAATCATAGAGAATGAACTTCCTATCATTCAAAGAGAAGTCTAAAAAAACTATTTAGAGAAGCAACTAAATTTACTAAATAATATTTCATTAACAAACTAGGCAAACTCTATGGTGGGCCTAAGATCCACTATTGACTTACATATGATTCAAATAAGCAATTCCTTACTACCTAGATGGTCATTTCAAAAAATAAAAGTAAAAAAAAATATGTGAGAAGATCCAACTAATACTACCATGGAAGCAGTCTAACAACTAATACTAATAAAAATTCAGCCAACAATCCTAATTTCAACGAGTAATTTCTAATTTCTAAAGGAAGGTGAAAGTGTGTGACTAGAGAAACTAGGGGTAGGCAAGAATCTGAAACTGTTACCCCGACTCGAAATATCTAGGTCCCGTTCCTATAATGTTTCATTTTGTTAGGGATGCCAACATTTTGTCTCAAACTCGTTCCGAACTATTTTAAAATGGACAGGACTAGGATACACAAATATTTTCCTGTTCTGTCTCGTTGTCTTGTATATATGTATATATCTACTTATTTATTTTTATAATGATATAAGACACAAAAATATCACAATTTTTGTTTTTTCAAAATAGATATAAAAAATATTCATATTCGAATATTCTAAAAAATGGACTAAGACCGGAACACCAAAAAATTAGACCGCTCTTACGGTCTTGCCCGGCCCACCCAAATTTGTGGCTCATATATCTTGACTTTTGACCTATGGTGTAATATTTTTCATGTTTCTTCATTATGGCTTTTTAAAAACATTCTAAATAAATACTACCTCCGTCCCAGAGTATTTGTCCACTTTCATTTTTACACACTACCCAATACATTTCTTTAATCCATTTTATCTTGTAATTTGTATATTAAAAAATTATAGAAATTATATATTAATAATCTATATGTTAAGACAAATCAAACAAGATCACACATGACTATCTTTAGGTTTACACATTGAGAGAATTTGATGAGTCAAAGTGCTTAGATGAACAGTTCCAAAAGTCAAAAGTGGACGAATATAGCGGGACGGAGAGAGTATATTATTATTTTTTTCATTACTTTGTAAGTCAAAGTGAGATGCCTCCCCTTATGTATTTTAGACTTTTATATCAAATTTCAGATAATGACAAAGTATGACAACACTAACGTATTCTGTTTTATCCTGATTCCAAATATTAAGAAAAAAGAGATAAGTTTGCCATCCTAACCATTTAAAAAGAACGCGTCTAGAATATCATTTAAAAAGAACACATCCCTTTCATTTTAATAGCGAATGTTCACCCAATATCATTTCATATTCATACCTAGGGTTCTCTAATTTCATGGCTTCAATTTGTCCTTTCGTTTCGTTATACCATTGCTGACAATGTCAGCTACTTCACAGTCGATCACGTCCTCTGAACTTTCCCTCGTCACGCGACGCCGAGCCGCTGTTCGGAGAGTGCAGCCTACCATCACTGCCATGGGCATTGCTGATTCCGACTTAGCCCCAGCGACTGCCGCCGCATCAGTTCCTCAATCCTCCGGCCTTGATATACCCGCGGCAGGCGATGAAGCTACTCAGGAACTTTGCCATCCTTCTAGACAAACTGAAACTCGCAATGCAATTCCGCTAGTGAAGAGACCTTCTCCTAATTCCAATGGCGTCGTACCTTTGTCCAGCCGTGTGGCTGCAAAGAAGAAAGTCTCCAAACGGGTGAAACCGAGATGGCTTAATGTTGTCAGATTATTCACTAAGAATTTGTTATTTTTGTTGATCCTGATGGGATTGATTTAAATGGTACGGAGATTGGTTATGGATTTTAGCACACTAAATATTGACGGACTAGCTGTTATCTGGGGGGATTTCGATGGAAAATTTGCAGAGGCTGAGGCTTTTGTGAAGAAGACCACTAAAATGATGCAGGTTCAAGTAGAGCTGATCGAGAGAAAACTAGAAAATGAAATCCAAAATGTAAAAGGTGAATTTAGTAAAAATCTTGAGGGAAAAGAAGCTGAATTCGAGTCAAAACTTAATGAGTTGGATGAAAGGACTGTGAATTTGGAGTCATATGTGTTCAAAATGGGAGTAGAAAATTGGTTGTCAAAAGAAGAGTTTGATAAGTTCCTGGAAGAGTCAAGGAGAAAAAATCAAGTGAAAACAGTGGTGTGAGTTTAGATGAAATGAAGTTATATGCTAGGGAGAGTGTGGAGAGGGAGATTGCAAAACATGCTGCCAATGGCCTAGGGTGGATGGACTATGCCTTGGCTGCTGGTGGAGCTAGGGTGGTGAAGCATTCACAACCCTATATCATTTCAAAGGGATGGAGTGGCAGTTGGATTTCATTACCTACATGGAACACTGTGCATAAGGATGCCAATAAGATCTTGTCACCAAGTTTTGGAGAACCTGGGCAATGCTTGCCTCTTAGATGGAGCAATGGATTTGTCCAAGTCAGAATGCCAGGGCAGCCATTATTCTAGAAGCTGTGACTCTGGAGCATGTTGCTAAGGTGATTTACTTTTCAACTATTCAGCACTGGTTTTTAAAGAATTTCTATTCATAACTACTTTTTATTCAAATTAAATATGCATAGTAAATTGGTTTGTTTAATTGGCTGGACTTTATAAATTCGTTGTATGTGTAAAACAAAACCAGCAGACACTGTTGTTGCTAATACCTAGACTAAGACTCAACACCGCATGTTTATATATTCATTGTATATTCATTATGGTTTGGCTGCAGCATGTTTTGCGATCTTTGTCTCCACACTCTCCCTAGCATTTACCTTCACCTCATCCACACTCAAACCACTATTTTCACTTGATTGATTGGATACCTCTTTTGAACTCTTTTTTTTGTTGCTAAGGCTAAGACTTGAAAGGTTAAACTTTGTGTCGAATATTGCTTCTTTCACCTTCTTTACCTTTTTGGTATAGAACTTTCCGTTCAGTGGCTTTGAATAAATATATTGGATGTGTAGATTCAAATATATTGGTAAGATTGGTTCATATGTACACTGAACTCTGAAGTAGTGAAGTGTGTATAGTTGTCCCACTGGCCACTTCAAATTCTACTTCCGAGTGGGAGATACTTGGCAGGATTATAATACTGGGTTTTGTTGTTGTATCAAAAACTCAAACAGTGGGCTAAAAAAGACACTAGGTATAGCCATTCATCCTGATATCTTGTGTACTTCAATTTCCCTTCTTACGGGCAATACAGTAGTTTCCGACGTGAAGTTCCGTTTGATTTATATGACCTGGATTTGGTTACTTGACCTAATTGACAAAGCCATGGTGAAAACCATAGGAGAAAAAAAGCTTCAAAAATAGTAAAGGCACTACGCACTGTCTGAGAATCGACCAGCTAAATAAATAGTATTACATCCAAGTTTGATAGAATAGGATAGAGTAGAAAGGCAAAAGACCTTAAAGACATTATAAAAAGAGAATGTGAGGCTTTGAAAAATGATTTCATACAACATTAATATGTAGGTGTTGCTGAGGAGAGACACAGTAAGGCTACGGGTGAGTAGTCAATAACAAGGTAAAAAAGAGGGAGAATTTAAACTGGATAAAATTTCAGTAGTTTGAAATGCAAAATAAAAAACATCAACTGCCAAAGAAAGAAGAAAAATAGAGAGATGGAAGTTCAGGTAAAGAGTGCGGATTGACAACAAACTGGTTATAGAATTTTTTTGAGGTTTGAAATTAAGAAAAAGTATTAAAAGAACACAACAGATGAGATTGATGAGTTAAAAAACTGCCGCCTAAGGTTTAGCTCATTCAATTGATTTTTTGAAATGCTCAAAAGCAATCCACATAACAGATGGTAGTAAAAGGGAATATTGAGTACTCATCATATATTGCCAACTACACAGCAGAATGTCTTGCCACAATTCTTCATGATATGTGCCCCAAGACCCGGCAATAATAGTTTTATTAACTCTTAAGAAACTCATAAAGCAAATATGATTTACGTAGTACTCCCTTCGTCTCAATTTATTCTTCCCACTTGGAAGAACGTGTAAAATCCCATCTCTTTTAAAATGATTTTATTTACAAATTGGTATAGAAATTACATCATTAAAAACTACATCAAAAGCTCTACAAAACAAGAGGTGATAAAAATATTTTATTTTATCAAGTGATCAATTAAAACATGCATACAAACATAAGTTATCGAGAGGTCGTAATAGCAACTCAGAAGAACAGTTTGGGACCGAGAGGGTATAAAGCAACACAAACAACCAAGTCCTAATCACGATCTATTAATGCTGGCTAGTGGCTATATGAACTAATAGTAAGTCACCCAAGGCGATCCAACAAAAACATCATTTTCCACTCTTTTGAGTCATGTACCACATGATCATCACCATGTGAATATGTGATACACAACATCCCCCAAAATGATTGTTTTCCTATTATGAAAATGTATTACCTATATATTACCAACCAAATCAATAACATTCTCAGCATGTCTATGCATGTACGGCAAGAGCTAAATAAAACAAACCTAAAACAAATTGGTCAAGCAGTACAGAGCGTTACCCTTGTAAAACATTGTCACTAATGACTCTTTTATCCTGATGTTGTGGCTAAATCACATGGTCGATTCCAAAAATCAACAAATTGAATCATATATTAAGGTGGGAGTGACATGATAGTAATTATCTAAAACTTTGAACGGTTACCTGTGGTGGCATAAGTGCATCCTCTTACATATGAGAATTCGCCACCATTTTTTGTTTAGTTGTAAAACTAATACCCGCCCATCAAGAGTTTCTCGTTATGGGGGCTTGGTTACCAAATGCTTGATTAGTTTTATATTGTTTTTTTTACCAAATTGATATTTTATTGTGTACCAGAATGTTTTTTTTATTTTGTTCAGTGAAAATACATTTTGCTCTTTTTCAAATATATTTGCAACTGAAATTTTGTTTTTGGGTTGAACAGAGTGTTGCTTATGATAGGTCTGGTGCTCCCAAGGACTGCAGGGTCTTTGGATGGCTCCAAGGTGAAGATACGAGTGGTGATGAAACTTCACATAGTGACAAGAGGTTTCTGTTGACGGAATTCACCTATTATCTTGAGAAGAGCAATGTCCAAACTTACAAAGTGGCGCAGCCTGCAGAGACCGTTGTTGTGGACACCATAAGGTTAGATTTTGCATCCAATCACGGCAGCATTTCCCATACATGCATCTACATGTTGAGAGTGCATGGGCGAGCACCCAAATCCGTGTTAATGCTGCCATGAGTAAGGTTGCTTCACTTCTTCATTACTGATTTGTAGTTAGAACAAAGTTGTGTGGGGGTAGGAGTGTGTAGTTAATCCCTTTTTTTAGCTCAACAATGAAAGTGTTCAGTTCTTTTAGGGGGAGTCATGACGACACTTGTGATTTTCTGTAAGTTACAAGATGTTATGTAAATTTCTCAGCCTTCAGGAAGTTGTGTTCATAATATAATTTCTTACCTTTGATCATATCGTAGAAAAGAAATTGGTCCTTTTGTGGAAACGAGCCATTCATTGTTTTTAGTCATCTTAGTTACATTCCCAGTCAATAGAAATGAGTCAGAATGGTTCAACACTCCGAATTATTCTCCTTTGGCCTACCCCTTTTGCGACGGAGACATTTCGAAACAGTTCGGAATGTTTTCATTTTTTTAAATAAAATACACAAAATTTTATAATACATAAACGCAAGAATTTTTTTGAATGTTTTATACAAATATCTTTAATTAATACAAACTACATTTTAGTTTACAAATTTTACAAATATTTAAAAAAACTAACGTTATATATATATATATATATATATATATATATATATATATATATATATATATCGATCTCGGAATATGTTCGCTTTTCTTGAATCACGACTTATAAGAAAAATTTGACCAAAAGACCTTTGGGTGCAAAATAGTTCAAGGAGCAAAAAACCGTGTAAGTCTTCATGGACGCCCACCCTTGTCCATAGCCCCCCACTAGGTTTGTTGGAACAATTGATGATGATATTGGGTTAGAAAGGTGACGGGTGACCCAGCAGCGTCTAAAACAGCCCATGAGTCAAGGTGTGAGGGTACATTCTGGGAATGAACGGCAAAAACCCATTGGGTTGTTGAAACGTGGACATGATTTGTCCAAAACCTTGGAACACCTGGGAATATCCTGGGTCCGTGGAAAGCTGGCTTAGGCTTGGTGGGAAAGTGACCCTCGCAATTGTCTGCCACCTTGATGATGATGATAATAATAATAGTAATAATAATAATAATAACTAAATATAATTAATATCTTTAACCAAACCAAATGAAAAACTTAATAATTAGAAACATCTAGAAAAAGAAAATTTAAAAATAAATTTTGAGCTCTATGATATCTTTTGTTTAACTTGTATGTTTCATTGGTCATTTGATGAAATGTTTAACTTCTTGTCTTATCTTGTTTTGCAAAAATTTTGATGCAATTTTTAAATATGTAATTTGTAGTATTTTATTATTTTTGTACCAATTGTTTTGTTAATATGTACATTTTCATAAATTATTTGATAAAATAAAATATTTTTTCAATTATTGTTTTGAATAATTTTCGACGTAGTTTTATTTCTTAAATAAAAATATTACATCCTCCGTCCCCATTTTGATTACAATTTTATTTTCTTCTCTTCTCGATAATTTTTATTTGTTTGTGTATTTCACTATTTGTTTGATAAAATAAAATATTCTTGTCACCTTTTATTTTGTAATATTTTTGATATAATTTTATAACATATAATTTTTATTTTTTATTGATGTACTAATTTATAAATAAAATGATTTAAAAAATCATTGGGTTTACCTTGTAATTCCAATTTTGTAATTAAAATAAAGACAGAATAGTAAAATATTTATTGCATTTTGCGTAATGTAACAAATATTTTGGAAATGAATACTCCCTCCGTCCAAGATTAAAGTTCCCGGTTTGACCGGGCACGCACTTTAAGGAAGTGTAAAAATTTCCTTGACTTTCCAAATTTTCCCTTCTTTAAATTAAAATAAAGTGAGAAGAAATGAAAAAGTGAATAAAGTAAGAATAGTGATGATTTGATTGATAATGATTAAAAACTAAAAATATCCCAAAAAGTACATAAAGTTAAACTACTACTCCAAATCACAACCACAAAAACTTAAAAAAATCCCAACAAGTACACAAGGTTACACGGTATTCCAAATGCCAAATTTTATCAAAAATTCAAAGTCCCCCCCAAAAACAAAAAATTTCAGAGCTTGGGGCCATCAAAGCTGCAGATGGTTCGTCTTCTTCCTCGGAATCAAGCACCACGGCTGCCACAATCTCACCTTCATCGCCATGGCAATTTGGGGAAAGTTGCTCGATCTCCTGATTCCCATCACTGGCGCAGACGATTGGAGTGTCTGAGACTATAGAAACAAGAGGATAATCTTCAGACTCCATACGAATTGGGTACAGGAGAGAGCAACTTAAGAGTTGGGAGGACGAAGATCAGAG